ATCGTGGCCCAAACCTTTCCGATCATTCGAAAATAAGTTCATAACCAACCAGAAACTTCTAGAGCCACTCAATCACAGAGTCCCATCCATCCCAGAGTACCTTAACCAGTCCCGTTCCGACAGCCATTGGTTCTTATTCTATTCTTCATGAATTGCAGAACCAGTGAAATGAAAAGTATCTTTGTGTATCTACTCCCTCTTTCATAAGATTGTGCCAGGACACATGCTTCTACATTCTCAATAACTTTTCATCTAGAAAATTCCATGACTCTTCAGGGTTATTTTGTGAATGTCGAGACAAACGTGCCTATAAAGCTAACAGAAATAACATTCTCAATTGTTAATCGGAAAAAAACTTCTGCATCGCGGGACTACTGCTTCCAGCTGTTTTCCCTATTCAAATTACCCAAGTACCGCATCACAAGCGAGAAAAGTCAGAGCGGGTGAAATCTGATATGCAAAACCTTCTGCTCTTTCTCACTGGAACGCGGACCATGATGAAAGACACCGATTGGAAACACTCCTTTTTTCGCGCACACCAGACGCGTTTTAGTATAAACAATTAGCACGAGGCAGTTGTCCAGAAGCATTGATGGCCCGAATAAGAGAAGTGGGATTGTGTATATACCAATAGCCGATGTTTTTTTAATGGTTTTTTTTCCAGAATATCAGAACAAGATATCCAAAATTAAATATTCAATTGTAAGCAGCCAAAGCCCCAGATTTTGCGAGAGTATAAAACATGAGCTTACGGTCCTTTGTCTAATATATTTATGACTCTCTTCATGTGAACAGATATTTTAAGACAATGAAGCAAGATTCATATACATCATTCAGATGATATTAGATAAAACATGAAAAACGTTAACCAAAAATACTTATTTTACACCTGAGGGTGAGGATAATTGAAAAACAAAATAAAAAGCGAATTCTCTACATAAGGCTCAGTTTTAAATTTGCTCAAATCTTGCGTCGACACTCTACCAAACATTTGGAAAATATCAAAATCTACAATTGAGGATTTTGTGGCTAATAGAAAAGTGTAAAACTCCTTGAACTGTTCTCGCTCCTCTACAGAAATAGTTGATAAATTATCCAAATTATTGAGGCGCATCTTGATGAAAATCTTAGTGGTCAGTGGATCCCATTCAACAGGTCCTTGAAAATCGGAAAATAGCTTGTAGACGAAACACTCTTCATCGTACATTTGAGAAATGACTGAAAATAAAATTTTAAATATAATTCATGACCTCGGGCAATTTGTCTTACGTTCTTCTATCTTTATTTCCGGGATATTAGACGGGCGGTCATTATTTCGTAGTAGTGCCTGACGGTTCATGTACGTCACGAAATGATCGTACCAACTTTCATCACAAAGTTTCACGGGGTTCATCTTTAATTCTTCCATGGTCAGGACACATTCTCGTTCGCTATTGCCAATCCAATCTTTACAAGACTCTACCATTCTCAGGTATTGTTGCTCAAGAGCACGCAACTTTTTCTCTGAGAGACTTGTATCCGAGTAAAGGTACAGGCAGTCTCCGGTTATGAGGTCCATTTTACAATTACTCAATGTCTCCATTACATATTCCATGATTTGGTACTCAAAGCATTTGGAATTTCTGTAGTGAATTATCCGTTCCTTCAGCTTTTCCTCGATTTCTTTTCTTCTCAGGTGGATGTCAAATGGATGTGTCTGCTTTAAGCACTCATAAATCTTCATTTGAAGATCGTGTGATTGAAAATTTTCTGAAAAATAAATATTTGAAAAATTCTGAAATTAAAAAAAAACAAACCTT